CAAATGCAAAGTCTCCGAGAAATTTTGAAAAATATAGTTATGTATGTTGGAAGTGTTCATCAAACAGGGTAGCAGCAAGAGTTAAGGTAGGATCCACATCAGTTTTTCAAACTACTCTTTGTTAAGACTTGGCTTTATATTCCCAGTATGTCACAGTCTGATATTTTTCGTCCATATCCTATTCAATGAGCCATTGATAGGATTGATGTTATAGCAAATGAAATTGCCTCTAAATGGTTACTTTCAATATGGGTATTTATTTCATCAAAGACTAAAAACAAACAGTTCCTGGGTTGGGCTAATTCATGAATCACACTTTGAATTGTACTGAGGTGGATCATGAAGGATTTTAGTCTATCATAAAGGCAATGTAAAGCCACTGAGACATTTTAAAAAATCATAGACTTATTAAACAATTTATAATGCCAAGAGAAAGATACTATTATTCTCCCCATTTTTCTGGATTAGGAAAATGTGCCTCATATTAAGCATAAAAAATTTCCTCAAAATGGTTCACTGAGAAAAATACTGGCAACTCACATAATAACAAAGAGTTAATTTCCCTAAAACATAAAACACTCCTGAGAATTAGTAAGAAAAAATATTAACAACTTCACAGAAAATGGGCAAAGAATAGGCCATTCACAGAAAGTAATTACTTAATAGTCTTTATATATATATATATATATATATATATATATATATATATATATATATATAAAACATGCTCAACTTTACTAATAGAAACTACAAATTTAAACTACTGACACACTAGCACCTAATAGAGTAGCAAAAGTTTGATCAATCACGCCAATGGGGGGTTATGGAAGAGAAAGTACCTTCATGGTATCCTTCTTAGGAGTATACATTGGGACACCTCCTATGGAAGGCATTATATATCTTTGGGACAGTCATTAAAGTCATTCACAAATATCCTCTTTCCTATGAACGTATATCATGGTACTCACCTAAATTTAATAGGTGGGGTTAGGGATATGCTTTAGCAAGGGAAATGTGAGCAAAAATGACATGAAGTTTCTAGGCAGAATTTTCAAGAGCCAGAGTGCATTTTGTATGTTCTCTTTTATTTAGTATCTTTTCTATCCCTTTACTATTGTGACTGGCCAGTGCTGGGTACTTGCTACTCCATAAGATTACAGAGGTAAGACAATTTAAAGCAGAACTCTTTAATATAACATGTAGCATGGGTAAGAAACAACCCTTTGTTGTTTTAAGTCACTGACAAAATGAGCAGCAATTTGGCATATGTACTAAAATTACAAATCTCTATTTCCCTCAGATATATTCGTACACATGCAAAATAACATACACAAAAAGGTTTCTCATTTCTAACATGGTTTGTTACATCAAATGACTGGAAACAAATGAATATCAACAAAGGATTTGCTAAACACTTGCAGTACATTCATAGAATGGAATATTATACAGCTTCAAAAAGTGAAAATTCTCTTAGAGCTAATATGAAAGGATTACTAAGTAAAAAAGAAAAAGATATTCTCAGTGTATATAATATTCTGCCTTTTATATAAAAGGAGTAAAATAGAAAACATTCATATTTGCTTATGCTTATATAATGAAATTCTATAATGATAAGAAACTAACAAAAATTATTATCTTAGGCAGAGGGGTAAAGGCATGACTACGTAGAACTTTGATTACTAGGGTGGAAAAATCCTTAGTGCTATGTTTACTTTGTTTGTTCTCATAAACTCAACCAATCTTTAGCAAATCTCATTTCAAGTGTACATGGTGCAATTCTGCTTCTATCAGATCCCTCTTTTTCTTCTTCTTTTTCTTGGTACTGGGGATCAAACCTAGAGGTGCTTTACCACTGAGCTACATCCCAAACCCTTTTTTAAAATTTGATAAAGGGTCTCACTAAGTTGCTGAGGCTGGCCTTGCAATTCTCCTGGCTCAAATTCCTGAGTTGCTTTAAACTATGGCTGGCCATGACTCATCAACTGCCAGTTACTTTACCCATGCTAAGAATTCTTTTACTATTGTTCTCTTACTCAAGTAGCAATAGTACTTAAGTACTACAGTGGCTCAAATAGCAACAGTACTCAAGAAGCAATAGTACTTAAGTAGCAATAGTTACTCCTGGATAAACTATGTCTTTTCTCCAGCTGCTTCCAAGCTTTAGCAACTATTTTTAGGTATATTTTTTTTTTCCTTTGAAAGACTCTGAATTCTCTCCAAAAGAAAAAGTCATATTTTAAATTATATCAGTTCCAATATATTTTTATTTTTCTCATCGAGTTTTCATTTTACATGGAGAATATGACTTTACTTTCTTTTAAATAAAAATTACAAGATCATTACTTTTGGAAAAAATAGTATTAATGACATTCACTCTATAAATGTTCACTTTAAATGTTAGTTTACCTCATATTGGTCTACATCAGGCCCTCAGTGTTGTGATTGAGCAGCCCTGTCCCACAGAAATTTCTTACCATATTCCTCTCAATATGTGTAGATTCATTTAAAAATTATACACACATAAAATTGTATTAATGTTAATTACATTATGAAAGTTAAAATGGAAAAGCATAAAAACAATCATTTAAATTTTTAAAAATATTAATGATAAAAATATTTGCTGTCACTAAAAATACTGGCAGTATTAATTTTTATCAGTGAAAGAAATGTAAAATAATATTTAGTTGCAGAATGACTTGAAGGTTTGGTTTCACATTTAATTATTTCAATAAATTGGTTTTCACAGCTGTCGTAGTGAAGGATACCAATACATCAAGTATAATTGGTTTCTACATGCCAATTTTTAAAAGATTCTGTTGAAATTTGGCTAGTAAATTTCATCTTCTCTGATGTCAGTCAATTGTTCTTATGAAAGGGTCAAAATATTTTTTATATTTTACCAATTTCAAACCTCACTGAAATTTTTCATTAGAAAGATTTTAAATATGTTAATACTCTCTTTCCAAGATTTTAGGCCACACAGTTTTGAGTTTTTATTAGTAACACTCATTTTGAGTAACAAAGGATCAGATGTACACATATATACAGAAAGAAGGATTTCAAACATCTGTATTCAAAATGCTTTCTCCAAAGCAGTTACTTTTTCAATAATTATTAAAATACTATCTTTTCCCTGAAGGGTCAAACTTAAGGTCCTTTAACTTGAGGCTAGAACAATTTGACCATCAAAATAAATGATAGTAATGGATTACAACTCACATCATAAATTAGAAATCCATGAGTCCATACTAACATAATTAAATTAACAGGAGAAAATGAAATCTCCTTATAGTAGAACAACAACTAATTAATGTAGAAAGGATAATGAAAGCAAAGTTACCACTTGACAACCACCATTAGTGGTGACAACCTCAGAAAAAAGTCATCAATGGATACTAAGGTGGTAGGTAGAGATTTGATGAGGCACACGGTATCAATAGTCTAAGAGGATCTTACTACAAAACACATACCCATTACAAAGGGAAAGAGGGGTATCTCTTTTTCAATATTTTTAGATGTATGTGGACACAATATCTTTATTTTATTTAATTTTATGTGGTGTTGAGAACAGAACCCAGTGTCTCACACGTGCTAGGCAAGCGCTCTACCACTGAGCCACAACCCCAACCCAAAAAGGGATCTCTTGACAATGAAGAAACCAGGACAATATAAATTCAACCAAATGATTAAGGCTATCACAAATTGTAGAACAGGTAGCCATCTTATACTTCCTGATGCAATGCACTGATAAGAGCACAGCACAGTTTTTGTGTAATTCCAATCAAGACAGCATGGCCTGAGTCTGAACATGAGTAAACACTGAATGCATCCAAACTGAAGAACATGCTACAAGATGAAAGGCCTGTACCATTTTAAACAGTTAAAGATGGAAAAGATGAAGAACTATTCCAGACTAAGGGAAGACTAAAGAGATGTGACTACTAGGGCTGGGGTTGTGGCTCAGCAGTAGAGCACTCACCTAGCACATGTAAGGTGCTAGGTTCAATCCTCAGCACCACATAAAAATAAATAAATAAAATAAAGATATTGTGCCTAGCTATAACTAAAAATAAAAAAAACAGACATGACTACTGAATACAACATGTCATCCTGGATTAGATTCTGAATCAGAAAGAAAAATGAGACACTGTCAGAATAGTTGGCAAAATTTGCACAGGGTCCTGATTATAATATTATTGTTTTCCTGATTTGGATGGTTTAATTGTGGTTACTCAGGAGAGTACTCTCATTTTCAGGGAAATACAAGAGCATTTAGAAGAGAAAATACCATACTTCCAACTTTCTCACAAGTAGTTTAGAGAAAGACTATTCCTAATACAGCAAAAGCAGATAAAGCAAATGTGAAATGCTGATAGCTGAAGCATCTGGGTCAGAGGATGCGAAAGTCTATCTACAGGTTATATACTACTGACAGGTTTTAAGTCATCACTTAAAACTATCCCTTCTGCCTGAAGACTAGAGTCTATCTATTGACACACAGATTAAGGACATGTCAAACTCATAACACAGAAAATTTAAAAATATTTATTTTTATTTTTGCTTTTTTATACTCTTTCAGATCTTAATGTATTGATGTTTTGGGCCTTAAATTAGTGACCCCATAAAAATTTCTGTAACCTATTTCTGGCCCCACAATATCAGCCAGTAATATTTGAACTGGCTAAGGAAGAAGTGATCCAAGAGGCCTTGAAATGGTCCCCTGCTCTCATCTGTGACTTCAAAGAGATGATGGTACTGAAAATAAACATAAAACTTTACCTTCAAGCTCTCAACCCACTAGCTCTATTTGATTTTCATTAATTAGCACAGAAAAAAAGCTAAGGCCATCTCCCCTATCTTAAGTCTCTGGTTTAGTTGCCATGCATTCCAAGAAGCACACTGTAAGAAGATGACTAATCACTGACTGCTTCTCCAGCACCATATGTCTCTCAATTTCAAAAGAAAAATTGTCCCAACCAGTATCAGAACAGATTCCCTACCTCCTGCAGCTGGAGTCGGACCTTGGTCACTGCTCGGATCCAGTGTGCTCTGGCTTGGGTAAATGGTGAAGATGCATTCTCCTCAGGAAAACTTGTAACAAAGAAAAGAATATTTGGGGGCAAGAAAAAAAAAAAAAAACATGAGTTACAGGGGACAGGGCTTAAAGCAAGATCGCCAAATATCTAAAATAAAATGATTTGTACTCATGCCTACACTTGTTTAGTGATTCAGGCCACTAAAACAGCATTGTCCTGAATACTTAATGTGCAAACAATTCCTCTATAAAATGACAATTCTTTTTTAGCTTTTCATCTGTTCCTACTTTTGCTTCTCCTTTTTTCAATTACCCAGTGAAGTGGCTCATTAGGATAGTCAGGAATCATGACACTAGAAGTAATAGCAAGGGCCCTAAGTTAATGTCAACCACAGAAACCAGTCAGAGATATGTGGAATAATCCTCTCACTTACTTCTTGAGACCACCAACCTTCTTTGGGGGTTCCACATAGCTTCCTTAGGGAGGAATTTTGTTCCTGCTCCACTATTTTATTTTTATTTATTTTTTTAATTTTTTATTGTGGGTTGTTCAAAACATTACAAATTTCTTGACATATCATATTCCACACTTTGATTCAAGTGGGTTATGAACTCCCACCTTCACCCCATACCCAGATTGCAGAATCACATCAGTTACACATCCATTGATTTACAAATTGCCATACTAGTGTCTGTTGTGCTCCGCTGCCTTTCCCGTCCTCCACCCTCCCCCCTCCCCACCTCTCCCCTCCCCTCCCCTCCTCTCTCTCTACCTCCTCCACTGTATAACCCTGAGGGTCTCCTTCCATTACCATGCAATTTCCCTTCTCTCTCCCTTTCCCTCCCACCTCTCATCCCTGTTAAATGTTAATCTTCTTCTCCTGCTCTTCATCCCCACTCTGTTCTTAGTTACTCTCCTTATATCAAAGAAGACATTTGGCATTTGTTTTTTAGGGATTGGCTAGCTTCACTTAGCATAATCTGCTCAAATGCCATCCATTTCCCTGTAAATTCTATGATTTTGTCATTTTTTAATGCAGAGTAATACTCCATTGTGTATAAATGCCACATTTTTTTTATCCATTCGTCTATTGAAGGGCATCTAGGTTGGTTCCACAGTCTTGCTATTGTGAACTGTGCTGCTATGAACATCGATGTAGCAGTGTCCCTGTAGCATGCCCTTTTTAGGTCTTTAGGGAATAGACCAAGAAGGGGAATAGCTGGGTCAAATGGTGGCTCCATTCCCAACTTTCCAAGAAATCTCCATACTGCTTTCCAAATTGGCTGCACCGATCTGCAGTCCCACCAGCAATGTACAAGTGTACCCTTTCCCCACATCCTCGCCAGCACTTGTTGTTGTTTGACTTCTTAATGGCTGCCAATCTTACTGGAGTGAGATGGTATCTTAGGGTGGTTTTGATTTGCATTTCTCTGACAGCTAGAGATGTTGCTGCTCCACTATTTTAGAAGATGTACCAATTCCTAAACTACATAAAAAGTGCCAAATAAATAAATAAATAAATCACAGCCCTTTCCTTCCATGATTTGATCCTTGAGCTGTCTGCCTCTGGAACACCCTCAGAAAAAATGAACAATAAATATCAGAGAAACACTACTTTGTATTAGAACAAGTCATCAGCCACATTCTTAACTGGAATACAGTTAATTCTTGGTGCTACTGCTTCACCTTCCTTCCTTTGGAGCCTATAGCCAAGGCAGAAGACAAACATTCACTACCCGTACATGCAAAAAGCATGTTAGACTCTGAAGTCATCTAAATGAGTCAACTATTCTAAAACATTTGTAGAACTAGGCTTCACATGCACAGAGAGAACCTGAGAAGACAAAACCAGAAGAAAAGGATAGGTGCTCATTCTGGGCACTTCTGTTTCTCTACCAAGAGATCAACCCTGAGAAAAGTAGCTGCCAAATCTCAGCTCCACAAAGAGCCAGCCTTTCAATGGAACATTAATCCAGTGAGAAGGCTGGTGCTGGTCCAGAGCTCAGTGATCCAGTGTCTTTCCTACTAGATGAACCACAAGAGATAGTAAGTTGATGTCTTCAGAGAAGTATGTGACTCATTCATTCATCTAGTGGTGGAAGAGAAGCCCCAACAATTCCTTAACTTTTACCAGGTAACTGGCATTTACTGCTTTTGGTTTTTTAGTGACAGACTTTATTCTATCATTATTTTAGATACTGTGGTAGTCAAAACTGGAGGTTGTTAATAGCATCTAATGTGCAAAGGTCAGATAGGCTACTAACACCCTATAATGCATAAATAGCTTCCTATAACAATTATCTGGCCGGCCCAGAATATCAATAATGCCTAGACTGAGAGACCTGCTATACTCCAATCCCTCCTCAGCTACTCTAACCAATTTAAGTCAATAATAGTAATAATATTCAAAGTCTGTATTAAGCTCCATTATAAGATTATTAAAAGTGACAAATTTTAAAATTTTCTTCTTATGGTTTCATATTGCCAAATACATTGCCAAGCCCAGGGGAAACAGAGGGGTGAGTTAAATCTGTCCTCTTGATCAATTCTTTATTCTGTCCTAGTTTTTCTCAGGAAGCATAAAACAAAAACAACACTGTTTACAAAAGAAGTTAAAACAATAGACTAGGAAACCAGCAAGGCACCCAAAGTAGCCCCACTGAATGCAGGGCTCAGGTGGGGTTTTAGACTCAGAAACTGCCATATGCAGGATCAAGAACAGCAGATACAAGAAGCCTTAGCAGACTGTAGCTCACTAACTCCAGAGAACTCAGTGTTCTGACTTCAGAGAACTCCCAAATATCTTAGGAATTATACCAAAAAAATCAAAGGAAGCAGTGCAAATTTCAGCATGGATGTCTTGCACCCCACCATACCCAGCTGCAAAGAAACAAATGAAAAACTCTTATATTCAGTAATATCACAGGGCAGGTACTGAGGAAGCATGTGGGACAGTCATCACCTACCTCTCCTGGGGGTCTAGGACATGGTCCTTGTGTAGCACCAGATCTGGGGGAGGATGGGCTATGGCATCTTCTCTCATCTCTTTGGGTTCACAAGCTCTCCCCTTCTCTGTTTCACCTGTAACTTCCAAGGCTTTTTCTTGTTCTCCAAAGACAGCCTGGCCATCTCTGGAGAGACTACCAGAGCTGTGGCAGGAATGAATTGAATCCCTCTCCCGACGATCATCATCTTGTTCGTGATATTGGTCTAGTTCACTCAGCTGAGAGCTTCCTTGACTCACATTACAGGAGGAGCCATACCTACTACTGCTGGTGGGGCTGTAAGATTTAAAAGAAGACAGATGAGTAAATAAATGCAAACTAGGGACCAGGGTACAAGTATAGATAAATTCAGGAAATAAACATTACATCAAGGGCAATAACCACAAACAGGAGGTTCCTAGGAAGAGAGGACCAAAGGTCCTAACCTAGAAAACTAGTCTCTATTAAGCAGAACCACAATAGGGAAAAAGCAATGTGCTGGGTTTTCCCACAGCATTTAACTTCAGCCCTACACCTACCCTTTAAGAACAGTTTATCTTAACATGCTATTTTTCAATAGAAATAGTAAAATGACTACTGCCTATCCCTAAAATTCTTTTGTCTTCTAAATAAACTTGTCCAGTGGCTGTGATTAAAGTTTGCTAATTTCCACATAGTGGAGTGAATGAATCTACTTTTTCTATTATTTAATAAACTGAAGTCCTTATTTATTTCCCTACAATTATAAATGTGTACACCTATACCATAGCATAATCAAATAAGAAGGAACATGTTCCTTCAATTACCTCTTAGACATTTGTAGGATGCGTTAATGGAAGCCATTGGGAGATAGAGGCCAAGACCAAGAAATTCCACAAAGGAGTGGTCTCATCCACATAAATGCTACAGTATACCTATACCCCTGGGATACAGAAGTATCCCAAAGATGAACTTCTCCTTTGTATATAAGTTTCTCTCAGGGAAAGAATCAGTTATGGATAAAATCGACAAATCTAACCCTTCTGGGTCATAGTCATATTAATGCATCTCCATATCTGAAATAAGGTTAGCCCAACGCTCTCTCAAACACCTGAATTCCCATGCTGAGAAAAAAATCTGTCCCCCCACAATGAGAGTTAGTTGTGGTAGGGAAAGTGGTGAAAATGGCACAGTGGTGGAAAGAAGGGCAGTATCCATGATACCCCCTTGAGCCTAATAGTCCTATCATCTAAAGGAGTCAGCCCTAATAAAGACAGAGGGACTTGATGTTATCTGCATCCCAAGTCAGGAGTCCTCATTTTATTACTGGTATCCTGTTGGAAAGCTTCCATGCAAAAAAAAAAAAAAAAAACAGGATTTTTCTTGTGACAGAGTCAAGCCTTTACCTAAGGGCTTAAATTTATTTATCCTTGGTTAAATTAAGAGAAATCATTGATGTTTTCCAGTGATATTTTCCTTATGGTTCCTCTCAATTACCTGCTGTTTTTAGGCTGATTTCCTATTTCCATCACATGTCAGCAGAATAGTAATAAGTCACTGTTCTGAGTAGTCCCCAATGCACATATATACATGCACACACGTGTATCATGCCCTGCCCAATCTCTAAAACCCCTGACCAGCTCTTCTGGACATGTTTGGGTCAAAGGTCAAGGTAGCATTCTTATTATGATTATTATCATTCTTTTTTAATCATAAAGTTCCCCCCCCACCCCGCAAGGTAGCACTCTTAAACTACACTGTATGGTATTATTGAAGAACTATAATTTTGGATAGCTGAGCTCCTGCAAGACTTTACCAAAGCACTTTCGGCCTCAAGGTGGTTCAAAGCAGAGAATAATGTCTGATGAATAAAGTCTCATAGTAACTTGGGCTACCCCTTGCTGTAGTTTTTCAGTATAGAGCATTGTGAAACCTTGGTATCAGAGATTGATACCTGACAAAAAGCTATTCAAATCCATGTTGAATAGAATATAGATTGTTCTAAGTCATTTTTTTTTTTGTATTTTACCTAATATCCTTATGGCCACTGGAGGAAGCATCTTAGAAGACGTGGAAAACCAAAGCAAATTAGGTTTCTCCCTATCTAGTATAAGATGTAAGTGCCTAAGACCAAACCAAGGAAGAATCCAACCCTATTACATAGTTGTAATTAATATATGCCCCTTAAATACTTGCTCCCTCTTCCTGCCCTCCCTTTCTCCATTCCACATTATATAAGGAAGAGCAAACTAGAGTGAGTAAATCTCAGGGCTCAGCCTTTCCTTTAAGCAAGAAGCTCCTTGTTCCAACAAATGAATTACATTTGACATTAGAGAGAAGGGAGAGAATGAAAATACCCATGTATTAGCTCTTGTCACTAACCCCTAATTAATGTGAAACACAGGTGTTAGGAAAGACACAGAAAGGATAAAAAGCAAACTAACATAATCTAACACTAAGTCACCTGCATCATAAATGGTCAATTCCTTAAAACCATTTATGATGCTTGAGTTGAGAACAGGCCTTTTGTTGGTCATTGGTTCCTTAATGTCATCCGGAGTGACTGGTCGCTGTTCACTTGAAACACAGTCAGTACTAGCAGGCAACACCTCCTCTTCTTGTTTTCCTGGCTGATTAGGCAGCTCAAAGACAGTGCAGTGTTCTTCTTCTGGTTTCCCTGAAGGACAAGTGGAGCCAGAGAGATTGCCTTGGGCACCTCCAAGTTCTCCAGATGCTGAGATACTAGCAGGCAACACCTCCTCTTCTTGTTTTTCTGGCTGATTAGGCAGCTCAAAGACAGTACAGTGTTCTTCCTCATGTTTCCATGAAGGACAGGTGGAACCAGAGAGATTGCCTTGGGAACCTCCAAGTTCTCCAGATGCTGAGATTTCCAGCTGGGTTTTCACTTCTTCAGGCCCTGACAATCCGTGAACAGAGACACTTGGCCTGGCATCCAGCTGCTCAGAGGTCCCAGAGGACTGAGTAAAGACCTCATCTGGCTGAGCACTGGCTACAGGTATTTGAGAAGACTCTGAAGCTTTGCTGGCCTCACTGGAGTTAAGATCATTGCTGATAATCAAAATTGGAGGGGAGGATTCTCCAGGAACATGTTCAGAGTCCCCTTTGTTCTCTTTGGGCCATGAAAATGAAAGATCCAGTTTCTTTCCAAATCCTAGTTTTGAATTACTTGGCGGTACACTTCCTTCATTACCTCCCTCAAATAGAGTTGACAACTTCTTAAAACCAGACATTAAACCACTCTCTACTGCTTTGTTGCCAGAGGGAGAAGGTGAGGAAAAGAAAGAGCTCAGTGTCTTCCCACGGTCAGTAGTAGAGGATGGGAAGCAGAGCTTTGGCCAGTTGGTCATGTTTGGGATCTCAAAAAGAGGTCTTGGCTGCTCCATTTCCTGAGGGACTACAGGTGGATCTTCCTGGGCATTAAGTACCCCACAAACTTCTTTGGCATAAAGCACAGGTTCTTCCTGCAGAGGATGAAAAAGATCCCCTTGGGTTTCTGAAGCGGTGTTCTCATTGACATTTCCCTCATCAAACAGTGTAGTATTGGTTTCTAGTGAATTGGATGCCTGTACATCCAAGACGTTTTGGTTTGTAGAGGCAGTCTGAATAGCTAGCTCTGGCTCAAGAAGAGGTGGTTGAATTGAAGGAGGAAGCTCTTCAGCAATCCAGGCAGGATCTGGATGCAACTGTGTTGGTAGCAGAATATGCTCTGCTTCTAATGATGCCTCTGTGTCTGTACCCTGCTGCATTCCCGTGTCTCCTTCATCACTTAAAGACAATACTCCTTGCCTCATATCATCCTCTGAGACAGAAGATGTAGCAACTGTTTCAAAACCTTGGGGTTCTAAAACATTTTCAAGAACATTATTTTTTTCCGTTTTGGTTGTTAGTTTAGGGTCATCTGTCAAGCCATCTAATTCTGACTTTGTACTAACCACAGTCATTCTACAGTCACTGAGAGTAGAGTCTGAATTGAGTCCTGCAGAGGCAGCTGTATGCAAACTTTCTGGAGGTATGGATCCCACAGCCTCTCTGGAACAACCATTTTGAAGCCATGAAGTAGCAACAGATGATTCTTGTTTATATGTTTCTGGTTTGGAACTTTTGAAAATTCCAAACAGCTCACCTTTGAGAGGCTGAGATGATGCATTAGAAGAAAAAGAGAGAAAGGAGTTTTTCTTTGGAGATTTAGGAGAAGAGAAAAGTCCAGAAAAAGTCTTAGGAGGTTCAATTAAGCACCCAGAGAAAGATTTAACTTTGGTCATAAACCCTGAAAGCATTTCTACTTTAGAGTCTAGCATTGATTTGTCCTCCTTTTTATCTGCATCTCTGTTCTGGAAGTGCCCTGCAAACCCAGGGTCTGAAGAAGCAGCAGCTGGCTCCTTGATTTGGGGTGAGACTTCATCAGAGACCATTTCTAATGGTAAGTTCAATGGGTCTGTAGTAAACGTTTCATTTTGGCATTCAGTACAAGCATCTAAATCATTGAGTTTTTCATTCAAATGTTTATCATAAGAAAAAGACTTGGCCAGAGAGTCACCAGCGAAGGCTTTCTGGCTCCAAGCCTCTTCTTTCTGGGGAGTTGTTACTTCAAGGGTTTCTGGGTCAATGAAGAAAGTTTCAGCATGTGACTGAAATTCTGATGGAGGAGGAACAGTATCTTTTTGTACCTGATTCACCTGAAAATCTGAAGATATCTCTGGTTCATTACTGGAACTCAGTTTTCCCTGTGTTTTCTCTACACTGAACTCATCTGCCAGGGAGGTAATCTCAGTGGTGTTGCTAGTGGAAACACAAGGGGCCAATTGTTGTTTATGAACTACTTCTTGAGCTATGCTGTCTCTATGATCACTAGAACCTTCCCTAGTCATTGAGACAATAGTGTCTACAAAAACACTTGGCTTCTTATAGGGCTGGGTAGTCACTGGAGCAACAGGAGTCTGCTGCTTTTCATCCAAAAAGGACAAGCTGAAGAAACTGAAACTAGAGCTCTTCTTACAAGAGGTATCCTTGATGCTTGAGTTAGTAGTGGGAAAAAAGGAAGGAAGTGTGAATAGCCCTTCTGCTTGAGATCTGACTCTTGGTAAAGCAGTAGAGGCTCTGTTCTCAGATTTTTCAGATCTATTCAAGAAAGAAAATATACTCTTTCTGATTGGTGGTTCTGGTTGGGATGGAGATGTTGTAGCAGTTGAAAAACTCCAGTCTTTACCAGGAAGATGATCTAGTTCATTTGATTTTCTTCTGCTCAGAATATCAAAAGGAATTTTACTACTTTTTGGACCTTCTGTCACTGTAGACAT